TAGATAGATAGATAGATAGATAGATAGATAGATAGATAGATAGATAGTTTCAGCACTAGTATATCTAAATAATGTTTAAAATGTGACTTTCTGAAACATAAAAGTTTTAAACTTACACTTAAACTTGCACTCTTTACTCACTACTTTACTTAACTTCTATCTTTGCTTCATCTATCCTCAACTAATCCCAGTTATTCAAGGATATTTTTGCCAGGTGAGTGTATTTAACTATTTTGATAATTTCTGCTATGACTATACTCACAATAATAAATACAATAAAATATAAATTATTATATGCTAAATTATTACTTCCCCATAAAAACAGTGCTCTAAAAGTATTCTTATATAGTGCTGAGTGTTGGAGAAAGATGAGCAAAATAAGTTTGTATTTCATCCCAAGTAAAAATGGGAAAAGCAAACCAACGGCAGGTGAAAAGAAGATAAAAGCTACACTGAGCAGAGGTAGCTATATTTGACATGAGAATATTATACAGTTTCTCTTAACCTCAGTGTTATAAATCAACCAGCACTGGCATCATATCTATCCCTTCTCCATTGATGCCTCCCTGTGAAACTTTAAATCTTCAGTGAAGAATATTAGTTCTCTTAATATTCCAATGAAATCTGAAAAATTATAGTCCACAAAAGCCAGAAGATATACAAGCAAGTCAATGAATCATTCTCCCGCCCGCTTACCTCCCTCACCTTTGATGTGGGGCCAGGACAATATAGGACACAGACTATGGGAACAATTTATGTTTCCCATGGATGTGGGGTTATTTTAATATATCTAGGAAACCTGTGGTGGAATGAGATGGAGTAAGAGGGATTTTGCTGAAATTGTTAGTTCTGGCTAAATAGCACCAAAAATGAAGATTCAAATGCATATAGTTATTCTTTTTATTCAGTGTTTATTTTTTCTGAATTCTTTCTATATTCTATTTTCAAGAATGGCTATCTGTAAGCATGTTGGATAATAGGTGTACAAGAAAAGGACTCAGCTAAAATGGAGGAGTGAATGGGAGAATGCCTGTATTTTTGTAAGTAAAATGGTGTGTTTGTGTGTGAGACAAAGAAGGGGAGAGGGAGACACATCTTACCACTTGGTAAGGACATATTCACAGCATGGACATATTCACAGAATTGTCTTACCATAATAGAGAAATGGCTTGCTATTGCTTCTTTTAGGGATATTTTCACTTCCTACTCTATTCCACAATCATGGGATTTACAGGTGGTCTCCTAACCAAAGGCCAACCTGGTCCAAACTTGCTTGGTTTTGTTTTTTTTAAACAGATATTATCATCATTTATGTAGAAGATTTTAAACCATTGTCAAGCATCAGCAACATGGACAAGCAAAGAAATACATGCCTATATGCTGTTGCTCTATATGTGGCATGTAAATGTCTTAAACTTGAAAATAGACACATTGCTTATCTTTCTATAGTTTATTTTTGGAAGCATGCATGACCAAAAAGAACAATGTTTAGCTCCCTCTGTGTGTGTTTATTAACAATATTAGCAAGATATTAGAAGCACATAAGCCAGCAGAAGCTACAGATTAGAATGTGGAGGAGTCTGAAATAACCCGAGTGTTTGTCTTCTCTTGTGCTGTGTCAAAGCCAGCCTGATTGGGGGGTGGGAAGGGGAAATAACACAATTCTGTTAAGAGATAGCCAGAAAAAATATAGCTTAGCTTTAATTCAAAGTTAATATTGAATGAACTAAGAAATCATTTTGCCTGCACACATTACGAGGACAGTGCTTATTTAAAATACCCCTAAGGCTAACCAAGTTATATATTCTCTGCCTACTAAAGTGACAAGGAGGCAATGATATTTTATTTGAAGTGCAGCACAATTCTAAATCCTTTAATTCAGCAAATAGATGCTCTGGTAATAACTGCATCAACTCAGGCCTCACACAGAGAACTATTATAGGTATTCTGTTTAAGCAAGCAAAAGCGCTAATGCCACTTCTTAAGGAGTTTCTAACAAATAAGATACGGAGAAGCTAGCGGCGAAAATTAAGATTGAAAACCACAGACTTCAAAAGGAATAAATGCTTTATGAGACCTGGGAATTCAGACGAACTTAAACTGAGCAACACTACCCAACAAAACCTAGATGTTGACATTACCTGTTCCTAGATTTAAACTTAAATTAAAATTTGACTGGCTAGATCAGTGTTTCTCAACTTTGGCAACATCATGATGTCCAGGTAGTCCTCTACTTATGAATACAATTGAGCCCAGAATTTCTGTTACTGAGGGAGACCTTTGTGAAGTGAATTTTGTCCCATGTTATGACTTTTCTGGCTACAGTTGTTAAGTGAATCACTGCAGTTGTTAAGTCATGGTTAACATGGTTGTTAAGAGAATCTGGTTTCCCCGTTTATTTTGTTTGTCAGAAGGGTGCAAAAGATGATCACATGACTCTAGGACATTGCAACAGTCATAAATACATGCCAGCTGCCAAGTGTACGAATTTTGACCATGGGGATACCACAATGGCTGTAAGTGTGGAAAATTATCCTAAGACACTTTTTTCAGTGTCATTGTAACTTCGAATGGGCACTAAACAAACTGTTTTAAGGCAGGGACTAACTGTATAGACTTCAATGGTCAGAACTGAACTATGTAAAATTAGAAGTCTAGATATCTTAAACCACACCACTTTTTTGTACAGTAAAAACAGTGTTTCTCCTCTATAATAACCCCATGAGTAGATTTGGCTAAGAGAAACTAGCCAAAGTCTAGTTCAAACCCCAGAGTCACCAAACCACATGGACTCAACAAATTGCATTGCTTGCAAATGTATGAATGAGGGGACTTGGTGCTCTCTGAGCTTGGCTATTTTGTTGCTGATGTTTCATTACCCAAACTAGGTTAACATCATCAGTGCATTGATGATGTTACCTATTCTGGGTAATGAAAGGTCTGCAAGGAAACAACCAAGCTCAGAGGACCTCTCATTTCAACCCTGTGCTACAAATATTCTTCTTTAAATCTATATATTTCCTTCTCAAAATTGAGTTCACTAAAGGAATTCTTACAAAGAATAGTCACCCAACGTGCTTATTTTAAACTATGAATTTAATCTTGAGCATTCAATAACCTTGACAAATCTCTCAAGTTTTTTTCTCTCAGTTGATAAGATCTTGTTTTAAGAAAAACCAGAAAGTCAGGTTGCCTCTTGAAAATGCACTTTGGGACAACCATGACCTGGATGACTGAGAATCTCCATAGACAATAATTTGATATAATTTTGGGCTATTTATACTTCATTCCTTAAACCATTATTTAATTAAATTTAATTGATTTAAATAATAAAAACACTATCAAAAGTATCCCTTCAAGGACCACTGAAATTTCATGGTATAATACACATGATCAGTGTTCCTGCATGGTATTATTCTTCGTGAGAGTTCTTCAGATTCCTTCTGTATTTATAAAGCCCCTCTGAGGTATCATCTCTTGGTGACATGACTTTGTTCTGTCTTGTGTAATGTAGTAAAAGACTTATCTGTTTACTGGATCTTACTTGGATTAGTATAGAAGTCATTTGTGATTGACCCCCAAAGCAGAATTTCCTATTTACAGTTTTGCCTTCTTGTCCTTTTGTATAAATGCTCTCAGTCCAGATAGCATTAAAAGGGCTGTAAGAGTTAACATTCATTAACATTTAGAATGCTTTGTGTTTCCCCTTCAAGATATTAAATTAGCTAGTGCTACTCAGCCAAGGCTGTGTATCTGTCAAATTTTGTCAATATCAAGCAAATCACTCCATTAAATGCATTTTAATCTATATTCATGGTTCACTCACAGAGACTCCTTAGAACCTGTGCCTCTTGCATCTTCCGATAATGACAAAAAGAGCAGTAATGGGGAAAATTTTAATCCTAAAGGTGCTATAATTATATTATAAGAATATTATCTCTGCTTACTTCACTGTTTTTTGTTTTGGTTTCTTTGTAGTTTTGAAAAAGGAAGCATGATATTTTTTAAGTAAGATAATGCTATATTGAGAAGAACACAATCACAAACACACCTTCACAGAAAGTGTTGTTATGTTGTAAAATGCTAATCTGGTTCTTGTAGGCCCTTGAATTCAGGATTTGTACAGCAGATACTAATGGAATATATTTTTGATTTGCTCCTGGGACTCGTTCATTTGTTTCCTTAATGTTTCATAGATACTATGGAGTTAAAACAAGAAAGTCTCTTTTAACTCCATAATATCTATGAAACATTAAGGAAATAAATGAATCACTGTGAGAACTGTGTAAAACCCCTTACTCAAAATCCCACATCCTCTTGAATGCTTAGTGTGAGTGCATCCCATTTCCTGAAAGGACATGGAGGCATTTACTGATAACACTTCCATTGACACACCTGCTACGTGCAGTTTTGAAAAGGGCTGATTATTTCTGTGCTTTGAGAAGTCGATCTGGACAGGTTTTCTACCATGCACCCCCCAAATGGATTTCTACTGTCCTAATAACCACGGCCATAGAGTTCAAGAGGTACAACCACATAGCTTTTGCGGGGGGAGGGGTGTTTCCAGAAAAAAAAATTACAAAGCAAAAGTGTTATTCCAAATCCCAAACTGCTAAAAGAGGGAGGGAGGGAGGGAGGGAAGGAAGGAAGGAGGAAGGAAAGAAGGAAGGTATAGATGTGATAAAGTCTAAATAGAATATTATTTGTTTATTTATTTATGGTGAATTATCTCCATCATTCAGCCAATGGCTAAAAAATAGTAAATGCAGAAATATTAGTCATTTCATGAGAAATTGGGTTGATTACTGGCAAACCATTTAGACAGTATAGATGAAATATCCTACAAATGAAGCTGAACTCATGGTGACTAAAGCCATATAGTTTCTTGGCAAGTATAAAGAAATTATTTGTCCTCGGCCTTCTTCCAGGATATTTCTCCCAGTCTTGCTTGTAAAGTGGTTGATTTTCCATCTAAATACTAATTAGCTCAAACCTTGCTTAGCGTCCTGAAATTAGCTATGTGCTGCCTTCTAGTTGAGTATTTAGGGAACACAGGTTGGTTTCAACTCAACCACAAAGGGACAGGATAATCAGAGTTAAGCAGTGCAAATCTTAAGTGAGGCATCATGTGATTGCACCCAATTTTTCTGCGGTAAATAGGTGGAGACATCACATGACCATGACTTGCTACCTTCCCTGCCAACTTTTCCGTTGATGTTGCTTGTTGGAAGCTGGCTGAAAAAGTCGCAAATGGCAGTCACATTACCCTGGGACACGGCTACCATTGTAAATATGCAATGGTTGCCAAGCACCTATATCATAATCATGTGACCATGAGGGTGCTGCGCTGGTCATAAACTCAAGGAGCAGGCATAACATTTTTCAGTGCAGTCATAACTTAGAATGGCCACTAAAGAAATGGCCATACAGCGACAACTACTTTTACCTAGGTTTGCATCATATGTTCCAAATAAAAAACAATAACTTGCCATCGGCTCCCTGAAAATATGATATACAAGAAAAATACATCACTCTTTTTTCAAATTGTGAGCCAAGAAACCATCACTGGACACACAATCTCCTTGTCAAACTGCCACCACCATTCCCTCTGCAATCTTTCAATTATGCCAATACACTAATAGGAACTCTAAAACATATTGCTGCACATAGAAATAGCAATAGTCCTTAGACTTATATACCACTTCACGGTGCTTTACAGCCCTCTCTAAACAGTTTGCAGAGTCAACCTATTACCCCCAACAATCTGGGTCCTCATTTTACTGACCTCAGAAGGATGGAAGGCTGAGTCAACCTTGAGCCTGATGATACTCAACTGCTGGCAGTCAGCAGAATTAGCCTGCAATACTGAGTTCTAACTACTATGCCACCACAGCTCTTTATAGATTCACACGGGAACAGAATTGAGTGGACTAAAATTGGGTGGAAGATTAAGCTATAACATGCAAAACTAGGGAAGAGAACATTTTCAAGGAAAAAAAACAAGGAAGTCCAGCTGCCTTTTGGAAAAAGCACCTTTGGGACAACCATGGCCTGGATAATTAAGAATCTCCATAGACAAATGGCAAGGTCCTCTCTTCTAGAAGAATAAGCTCAGTCTTGTTATTGGGTAAGAAATTCCAGGTAAAGGTGGATCAAAGTTTTGGCAGGCAAAGGAAAGTCTCCCTTTTCCCTGTTCTGGGCAAAAAGAGATAAACCCACACTGCAAATGTGGTTTTATGCTGCCTCTCATGCCACCACTGTTTGTTTTGAATTTTAACCCTAGAGCAGTGTTTCTCAAACTTCAAGATGTGCGGACTTCAGCTCCCAGAACTCCCCAGCCATCATGGGTATACTTGCCAAGTCTTAAAGTTAGCAAGTCTGAAAAGCACTGCCCTAGAGCATATCTTGCTATAGAAAAATGAGCTTCAATATCATACATAAATAATAACTAAAATACAGTATACACATAAAAAGACTACACACATATAAGCTGGGAGAAAGGTGAGAAAATTCAACTAATATTTTACAGCAGCTCCAACCAAATTGGCTATCTCCAAGGTGCAGTATAAGAAAACTAAAAACAGTTGTATGTCTCACTACATGTGTAGGGATTTGGCTGTCTGTAGCCCTAAGTATAAATGAATATGTTAAGCAAAGCAATCAGTTGTTCCAAATCTGAAAGAATGGTATCACCTAGCATATAAAAAATGGGGTCATGTTTTAATGCTATATATTTCCAGTGATAAATTTATTTAATGTAATACTCCCAAATATGGATGAGATTTCAGGTCCAGCGTAACTTGAAGTAATCTTGTAAGTTAAGTCTGCTCAATTGCAGAGAGCATTCTGCATCCTCTGCAGGATTTTATCAGCAGCAAGACACTGCTTTTGTATTGGTTGAAATAAATTCTTAATCTTTATTCAATGGCCTCAGAAGGATAATCAAAGGGATTCCCAGTGATTCAATGCAATATATCATCATGTTCAATTTACTGGACAAAAAAGGTTGATAATTTTAGTAAAGTATTTTTTTTACACCACAGAGAAAATAAATGACTTACCTTCTGAGTAAGCAGCGCTTGTACAACCTGGTTGGCTACCTATAGAAGAAATAAATCATAGCTGAGAATTACTTTTCATAATTAGGGGAAAAAATCCTCCTAACTTCCATAGAAATTGAGATTCTACTTTTTTTAAAATTTCAAAACTTGGTAGTTTTTTAAATGACCCCTCAACACAACATTTTTTACCCTGCAAAGTGAAAGGGGTAGAACCAATTCAGACCAATTCAGGGGTCAAATTATATATAAGTAAATTGCTTTAAAGGAAGGAAGAAATAAGCATTTCTGTCCTCCATATGGAAAAGGCAGCCCTGAATGTACCAAAAAGGGGAAAGAAAAAAAAAAAAGATCATATGTTCATGACAGCTAGGTGGCATTGCATGCTCCAGAAAATTAAAATACCTACAGCTCAGTCAGAATAGAATTTTTTATATTGACTTAAATCAAATAACAACTGATTTATAGAACTATGTATAGAATTAATTTTACTTAATTCTTTACTCATCTACTAGGATCATTTTATAAAAAATTGCTTCCTATTTATCATTAAATTTAAAATCCAAAATCAAATATAGAAGTCTACCACATATTTTTATTATGTGATTCATATTTTAATGAGCAATATACTACCATTTTATTTTGTCACGAAGCCTTGTGCTTTATGTAAATTTTACTATTTTGAAGAAAGTGATTTTTTTAAAGAAATGAGATGTCCCTTTCTTTCACTAATTTGATTTTAAAATTTTGTTTCATGTGAATTAGAATTTAAGATAGGAATTCAACCTTTTTCCAAATACTTATATTTTTATAGAAGTCAAATGCTTGAAATGATTCATGTTCTCATAAAATGACTGATTCCTTTTCCTATCATTTCCAAAACTGTTCTCTAACCTAAGGCACCACAGACAGCAAAGGTCAAATAAAATAGCTATCTCTATGATTTAATACAAGACACAGATTAAAACTGTAGTCAGAACTCACAAGGGTATAACTATAACTTTTTAGATAAGAGTGGCATAGAAGAAATATGCTATATTGGGGGTTTCAAAATCTAAAAAATAAGCAATTAATATTCTAAATTTTGGGTGTTCTGTAACGTGCCTATATATTCACTAAAACAACTGCAAACTAACAGTGATATAATCAGAGAAGAGAGGGATTAAATACTACAGGAATTCTACAAACTTTAATAAACCAAGTGTTTGAAACGAAGACGCTCAAGATATTGGGAAGATGATATATGGATGGTTTTATTTATAGAATCACTGAATAATTACCTAATACCACCAAGATGGAGCATTAGACAGTATATGCCAACAAATATATTACTACAAATGTCACAAAACATTATGTAGCATGTGCTTAAGACAGGTTGTTAATACCTTAAAATAAAATAAATACTTTTTATTTTTTTTCATGGTAATTTCCTGAATTTGAGCTTCTTGTTTATTTCTTTATTATTGACAGAGAGAGGGAGGGGGGAAAGAAGAAAAGAAGACAATAAGGGAGGAAGGTTTCCGGTGCTGTCATTTCCCACAAGAAATTCAATGGGAAACCCAATAGGAAGTTAGAAATTGTTGCAGTTCCCACTGATTTTCAGCCATGTCTGTGATAATTCTATTTTCTTTTTAGGTCAGGAGATATCTCTGAAACAATGACCCAACAGGTCAAGGGTTGTCTAGTTAATAAACAAAACTCATTATTAAGTAAAACAAATGAAGTGCTGTTTACACTATAGTTGAATTCAAGTACATGATGTATTTTTCCTTGGAGGAAATAACAGATTTACAATTAATTTGAAAACAATTGTTTCTTCTTAAAAAGAATAACGTTAGTCCTTTTTAAAGAAATAATAATTTTATTTATTTATTAGCTTTTTATCCCGCCTTTCTTACTTTATAAGAAACTCAAGGTAGTGAAAAAATGTAATACTCCTTTTTTACCCACAATGGGATGTATCCAGCAATTTTGAAAAAATAAACCTGATCTTCCCTTTCTTATTTCTTATCTCAGGTCACATTTTGGTTGTGTCTTCTTCCCTCTTACTTCCTTCATGTCAAGGGCTGTCCAGCATTTGTCCTCTAGTTACCTTATACCAGAGGTGTGAGAGTTGTGGCATCACATAGTCATCATGTGATGTAACATGACTTTTTTCCCCTTCGCTAAAATGAGGGTGGGTGTGGCCAGCATTTGACACATTCGGCCCATGGGCCATGAGTTTGACACCCCTGCCTTATATTCTTTAGGTAAAACCTAATTTTAATATATATAACAAGTGTTTGAAAAACATATTCCTTTTCATCTACAGTACAAAGAGGTTAGCTTGGGCAATACCATTCTTAGCCATGCAGGTAAAATAACCAGTCTTAAAGTTTATGGCTTAATGGCTCTATTTAATTTCATTATCCAATTATCAATTTTGATAGTGATAATTGCATGCTAAATAATTTTTAGGGATTGCAAATTGTTGGATTGTATCTTTTTAACCCTGTTCTGTTTTCATAATTTTATTATGTGAAGATCAAAGTTCAATTTTTCATTTGGCTTCTTTGTTACACTCCTCTAAAATGGTGTCATCATAATGACCTTCACCATTATCAGGCAAAAAGCTCTGTGGCGATTTGCTTACCACTATACGCCTTCCAAACTATACCACTTACCAAACAATATCCAAATCTTCTTTGTCAGTAACATTTCTGAATAATTCTATTTTTTTCCCAAGGCCACCACAAGGAAAAGAATATATATGATCATTTTATCTGGCTACCATAATCTCCTCTATTTACTGCAAAACTGCTTATCTTCTATGATTTGTAATCTTCTCAGTTGCCACACTTCCTTGGACCATCCCAGACAAATGGCTCTCCAAGCTCTGTTTAAAAACCTCTAGGCATGGAGCTTTGGTGACTCCAGAAGGCAAACTGTAGTTTTCATGGTCATGAAATTCCTCCTTAATTCATACCTAGAGGTTTTCAAACAAAGTTTGGAGAACCATTTGTCTGGGATAGTCCAAGGAATCCTGTATTGGGCAGTAGAATGGACTAAAACAGTGGTCACCAACCAGTGAGCTGGGGACAGCTCTGGTGGTCTGTGAGAAAATTTTGGTGGTCTGCAGAGAAATGTCACTCCCTAAGCACCCCCCAAAGCAATTAATCCAGCTGCACGGGAACATAAGGCTGAGCTGCCCACATGGCCCATGGGAACACAAGGCTTGTGTCGCTTGCATTGCAAACAACACAGGGTAGTGAGGGGAGGGGGGAAAGGGAAGAACTTGCTCCAATTGCCCCATGCACCTGGCCTGGCCACTGGGCTACTTCTTTCTGCTTTTTTCTTCTTCTGCTTTTGGCTGCACACAAGGAAAGCAGCAAAAGCCTTTCTTTCTTTCCCCCAAACTCCACCAGAAATGAGTTTCTGGGACCCTGCAAGGCATTCTGCTCCAAGAGGCTGTGCCGGTGTGACCAGTCTCATGAAGACTCATTTCTGGCGGAATTTGAGGAAAAAAAGAAAGACTTCTGCTGCTTTCCCCCTGAGAACAGAGCTGCAGATGGTATCCTACAATCCCAAATGATTGATTGGTAGGAAAATGGGGTAGGGAATTTTCCTGCAAACTTTTTTTGGGATTTTCCGAGGGTTTCTGGTCCGCGGGATTTAAAATTATGAGTTTGGTGGTCCCTGAGGTCCAAAAGGTTGGTGAACCCTGGACTAGAAGACCCAAGAGTCCCTTCCAACCCCATGATTTTATCATTCTAAGGCAGGAGCTTTATTACTTCATATTCTTTAGTTCATGGATAGACAAAGACCCCCCAATTTTAAATTAGTAGAGAAGATATTGTTGACCTTGATGCCTGGAGAACTTTTGTTATTTCAAAACAGGATGCAGCAAAATCTGTGAGAAAATCAAACTAACTATGATGGCTCCTTTGCAATAATTCTCGTTAACTTAAGAAATTTGCTACTAAGTAAAATGAAACTATGAGAATTAGATTATGATTCAGAATGGTTGTCTGAAAGGCCAGCTATATAAATATTTTAAATAAACCAATAAAATAATAGGAGACCAACATTTCATCCATCTCACCTCATCAAGACATCTTTCATACTGCTCTCTCTGATTTTTATTTTCCATAGCCAGTGCGGAATTCTCTGCCTGAAAGACACACAAGCACACACATACAAACAAACAAAAATATAAATTAATTAGTGGATATAGTGAGAAAAATGACAAATTTATTATATAGCTAGTCCTCGACAGTTCATTTAGTAACTGTTCAAAGATTACAACAGCATTGAAAAAAGTGACTTATGACTGTTTTTTAAACTTACAACCATTGTACCAACCCCCCCCCCAAGGTCATGTGATCAAAATTTGGACAATATTTGAAAGCCAATGGGGAAGCCAGATTCACTTAACAGCTATGTTATTAATTTAACAACTGCAGTAATTCACTTAACAACTGTGGCAAAAAATGTTGTAAAATGGGGCAAAATTCACTTTAAATGCTTTGCTTAACAACAGAAATTTTGGACTCAATTGAGGTCATAAGTCGAGAACTATCTATATTGTGTATGTAATCTCATAACCTTATAACCATGTAGGATAAATACTCAGTTATTTACGATCTAGTGTAAACTTTGAATTTTTTTTTTAAAAAAACCTCCAAATATATGTTATTGTTCTGAAATAACACAAATTTGTTAACTTTATGAAATCACATGCACAATTTAGGAGAGCCAGACATATCTCTGTAATATCTTCTTGACAGATACTGAAAACAGCCTTTAGTAAAAAATATTGCAGTGGATATTTGATATATCAATTTTCTTTTATTCAAGCCTTCCAAACTTTAGTGCTAGGAAACCATGAGTCAAGGGAATTGTCTTCCCTCTCTAAATCAGAAAGCTTAGTTGAATATTAACAGATTTACATCTACAATAATAAAAACTGATTTCCTTTTATCATTCAGACATCGTAGCACTAATGGCTAGGGCAGTCATATTTTCATTTTCATTGTTTTATTTTTTTTGGTTCTTGCAAAACCAATGAAAGCATCATGCATTTCTCTTACTTACTATATCCATAATACTTTGTTCAGAATAATAGCAGAACAGGTATATAAGCTTTTTTCATTAAAGCAACAACAAAGAAACTCATGACTATAAAACTAAATTAATCAGTACTACAGCAGTGGAGGTGATTTACTTCAACAGTAATTCCATGTAATCGTTGCATCTGGACACTCTATAAGACCAAGGCAACCTCCCCCCCCCCCCCCCCCCCCAAAAAAAAAAAAGAAGAAATCTTTTTCTGGCATTGGAAATGCCAGGTCAAGGCTGAGGGGTGAAACTCTCTATCATGGTGAGAGTGGTGTTGTTTCTGAAATACAAAAAGCTTCTCTGAAGGAAACCCAAGAATATCATACAGGGCAAATCCCATTCTGGTCTCGATAAGTGAACTTTTAATAAAAAATGGTGGGGGGGAAATGGCTCTGTTCAGAATTCATTCAATACATTTACGTACCACCTTTTCTCTAAGAGCCAAAGGTGGAATCAGATTCTGTCCTACAACTACTAGGCCATCTCTCCACACATCAATTATGTGAGGTAGGCAGGTCGCTCATTTGTCATTGCAAAGTCTCTTAATTCATTTCATAGCTGAAGCTGGAATTGAAACTGGATCAGAGGTGATATTCAGCCGGTTCGGACCGGTTCTAACAAACTGGTAGTAATGATTCTACACAGTTCGGAGAACTGACAAATCGCACATGCTCACATTTTCGGCAAACCATTGGTGAAATTATTTGAAACCCACCACTGAACTGGATCTTCCTGATAGCTATTCCAACATATTAACCACTATCTGACATGTATGGAGGGTGCCCATCTGACTAATTAAGCATTAGCAGCGAATAAGACAGCTTCTAGTAAATAAAATGTTCCATAAAATACTGAAACATAGAAATAGAAAAATCCTCCTGCTCTGGGTGTTACATCTCATTCCCTCTTTTTATCAGTTTTCTATTATTTCCTTTTCTCATTCCCTTTTCTCATCAAACTTCTTTATTTCCTTCAACAAACATTAAGCCAGCATTTCCAATATAGAGTGATTCTTTAAGTGACCAAAAGTTGCCACAGCCTTTATATGGTAAAAAGTTAAATAATTCTCTACAATTCTGAATAGCAAGTTGTTTATAAATTCAAAATAAGAACAGTGAGTTTGGTAGATGGGAAAGTTTGGACACTGTTATAACATTTTTATTTTTTTATTTTTCAAAAAATAATAGCTCCCAAACATTTCCCATAGTTAATTTTCATTTTATTTTATGTAGTGATTTCACTATTTCTATTCTTGCTTTTGGACTCCCCCCCCCCCCCCCCCCCCCCCCCTCCCCTTCTTTTTTTAGAATTCTTTTCTTTCAGAAATATTTATAGGTCTCATTGCATGCATTGCATGTTTTCAATCATATTCAAGTCTGGGGATTATGCATGCCATTACAAAACATTTATCTTTCTTTTCTGGTTGATCTGAATGAATGTTTCAGATGTCTTGCTGAAACATCCAATCACTGCTCAGCTTTACACTTTTTACTAATTACTTGGATACAAAATTTTCTTCCAAATCAATTCTGATTCACTGAAACATAATTTGATCTCCTGTTGCATTCACCTGTGCATATACAACATTATATAAACAATCCAATTAACAATCCAATATCCTATCCATGTTCACATACCATGTGATTACTACTCAAAATGGCCCCACCCATTACTTCCAAGGACTTTCAGCAGGCACTTTCTGCAGACATGGCTTAGATGGGCACCTTTCATCTGGAATAAACAATATTCAAATAACTTGCCTCCAAGCTACACGTTGATATGCACCCAAAAAACAGCTGGCAGTCAATGCAATTACCACAATATTAGAGCTTTGTGGCAATACTAGGCAGATCTGACTAGCACATGGGTAGCCATATCCTTCGTTCGACGTTCTGTTTCTGGAAGGTTGTTAAGAAAAGCCCCACTTAGAGTGCTTTATAGTAGTTAATCCATGACATGGCAATGAGCCACTGTTGCTGGCACTTTCTGTTCCCAAAAAATCACAAATAGCATAAAAAGTGAAGCTGGGAAAAAGCCCTTCTTAACACACAGCTTCCATCATATATCCCTCAGATTGGAATGATTGATAACTTTCAACTCCATACTCATGAAAAATATGCTATAATTCATACCTATATATTTTATCATATTTCCTCTAAATCTACAAGCATGTAGTAAACTTTCTCACGTTCATACCTTTTTCAAAATCCTGCAGAACAAAGATCCAGTTTGCTTAGCAAAAGGCCAAATCTACTTCCTAAATCTTCAACACTATATCTTTTGGTATTCTTTCAATCAAAATTCCACCTGACATCTTCACACTCACAATTTACAAACTAATTATTTTGCCTTTCCCTTCCTAAATGTCCTTTTGTATAGGGAGACGATAATACATTCTTCCAAATTACAAGCACACATGGAGTTTCACAAACACATTACATAAGAAACAGAGCTACTGTGTAAGCTAACCATAGGCATATTTTAACATTTTTCCAATAAGGCCATCTATATCTTCAATCTTACTGTTTTTCAACATTCTCACCAGACATGTATTTATGACTTTCTATTTTTCAATTCTTCTTTAGACTCTTTGGATTTTTGTTATCATTCCTTCAGGATATCAGAGTCATATAAATCTCTAAAATGCTTCTTTCAGCTTTTCTCACTTCAGTTGATCAAAGTGGGAAAATTAAAGTCCATGAATGGCTTCCTTAAAAGGGAAATAAGGTCCCAGAGAGATTATATTTTCATTCAACAACCAAGATTGGAAGGAGGGAAACAGCTGGCTTCATGCAGGACCTAAGACAGGAACGAGAAAGATTGCTGGTGGAGAAGTCTTGGCTACCCAGGGAAGGAAGGACTGGACAGAAGACTTTGAGATAAGTTATTTCCCAAATGAAGGAAACACAGATAGTTTAGTTAAGCAGATGGAAAAAAGCAAACATTCCGTGCTGAGGTGACTACTCATATATTTAGCACATTCCTTTCTTTTTACTGTCTCTTAATAAATCCAGAAACTGGGGAGAAGGAGGGAGTGAAACCTGACACTGGGCTAAAAGCCTTGATTGTATGATACAATAGCAATAGAAATAGCACTTAAGATTGATATACCGCTTCATAGCACTTTAGGGCTCTCTTTAAGCGGTTTACAGAGTCAGCATATTGCCCGCAACAATCTGGGTCCTCATTTTACTGATCTTGGAAGGATGGAAGGATGGGTCAACCTTGAGCTGGTCAAGATGTAACGACAGATTGAGGGCAGATTGAGCCTGCAATACTGCATTTTAACCACTGCACAAGCATGCCTCTTTTTACAAAAACCAGTTGTCAATTCTTATTGTAGATAAAGGTATATAGTAAAACAAAATTAAAAAGCCCAGGTGCCTGTCTTATCTTGTTTTTTTGTGTCCACTGCATCCTTGTAAACCAAAATATACCCCCAGTTCTAAAAGAACCCAGTCACATTGTGACAGCCTTCTTAAGGAGGGAATACACCATAGTCTTGTCCAGGGATTGGCCTCCTCCAAGGCCACTGGCACACTCTGGCTGCACAGTGAAGCACAGGATACAGTTCACAGATGTAGAGACATCATAGGAAGCACAATATATACTTCATTTGAGGTTGCAGGCCCAAAAGAACTTGTTCATTAGGCAGGACGATGTCTTATTCATTACCATAGATCCAGGGGTGGGATTCTACCAGTTCTGTCCACCTCTGTAGAACCGGTAGCTCTGAAAAGCAGCACACATAGAACAGGTTCTATGTCTGCTGCTGTTTTGGCCCACCCGCCCACATGGGCTCTTACCTGATCTTTATTTCCTGCTTTTTCAACCTCAGCTGCTTTGCGCGGCACAGCTGCGGTTGAAAAAGCAGGAAAAAAGTGCTTTTTCAAAGGCTGCGCACCCACGAGCAGCACTGCTCAGCTGTCCAGGCAGCAAGCTGACAACGTTATACACATGTGCACAGCAAAATGTAAAATTACCGAACCGGTAGTTACACCAGTCAGATCCCACCCCTGCATAGACCCTGTCCTTATTGTTCAGTCACTAAAT